AAGATGGAAAAGCCACAGACGAAGACCTCGCTGTCCGTACGGGCTCGGGGGTCGTCACGTCAGCATTGCAGCAGTGCAGAAGGCGGCAGGCGGCTGCACGACCCAACGCTGTACAGCCACCTGCCGTCCCATGAGATTTCGTTGCCTCTGAGTGACGAGGAGGGCGATGACCCTCGATCCTCAACGGTTCCTCTGGGCAGGGGTTCTACGCAGGATTGGATGGGGAGCCAGCTGTACAAACAGACATCGACACCAACGTACACTGATCTGTTGGAGGGGCGGACCCCGGTTGGTTATGACGCAGGACTCGTAGATCTCAGCTTCGGTYWGAGGTTTGGGAGTGCCGAGGACGTGACGCACACCGTTCTCGTGAACCCAACTTCGGGCACCAACCACACACCGCCTTTAGTGAGGGCATTGGGCCTTCCGGATAACCGCGCCTGGTGTTCTGGTGAGTCGGGCGACGAACGTGGACTCTTTTCGCCAAGGCGGGGGGCAGTGGGCACAGCAGGTGTGGCCGCGTCGAGGACGAGGACAGGTGGATCGGCTCCTTGTGRATCGACTACGCTAGGCGGCACAATCGACGGACCAGGGGACGACGATGAGTGCTCCGGTGCTGAGGTCGTGGGACGAATGGTTTGGGATGATCATCGGCGACAATCGCGTCAAGCGAGCACGTCCGGCATAACGAGAGGGGTGGTGAAGATTAATGTGGGGGTGAACGATAAATTCGGCGATTGCGATGGCGCAGGGGGCGAAGATTGCACGACAGAAAATAGGGCCAATGACAACGACGAGGACGGCGACGGGGAGATGGAGATTCGTCCAGTACGAAGGAAGCGGGGAGGGTCAAGGGCCACAAACAAGTTTACAGAACCGCGCGTGGGGCGGAGAGGCAAGAAGGGTGTGGAAGATACGTCGGCTGGCAAGGGAGCAAAAAGCAGGGATTTTCGGACCGTGGAGCACACGATTGCTCTGATCCAGTGATCCGAGCTAAAAGAGACCAGGATTTGCATCTGTCCAGCCTGGGGCACAACAACGGAAGGATGAAGACGAAGACATGGAAGTGGGACGACGTCGAGAAGAGGCTCGTGCAGATGGGGGTGACGAGTAGAAAGGCAGTGGACTGCGGGAAAAAATGGGACAACCTGTACCAGCAGTTCAAAACCCTGCACAAGTTCATGGGAGAATCAAGGAAGCCTAATTTCTTCACACTAACGCCGGGGGAGAAAAAGGAGCGGGGATTCGACTTTCGGATGGATGAGCGTGTGTATTCGGAGATGACGGCCATGTCCAAGGGCGATCACACTATACACTGCACGAATCGCGCGGACACGGGTGCGGCTGGAGGTGTTCAAATGGCCGGCCCTCATGGAGTTCGGAATGAATCCGGCGGTAGTGAGGGATGCTGGGATGGACAAGGCGACGATCAAGGATCAACGAGGGATTCAACGTTCAGCGGCGGTGGCGGTGGCGGAAAAGGCAAATGGAAGAATGTAAGACAGCAGACCTTCGAYATGATTGCGAACGTCATGAAGGAGCATGGTAATCCTATGTGTCTATTCAACGGGCAACGGGAAAGTTTCAACTCCGTTGTACGCGTTGAATAGCCCCCGGGGCCCCGTTGAATTCCCGTTGAATGGTACAACGGACTCTGCCCGTTGAATATTGTTCAACGGGGAGGGTGCATTGGGCCTCGGACACGACGCTGGATGCACGGGAACCAAAAAAAAGTCGTCCCGTTGAATCCCCGTTGAATCCCCGTTGAATCCCCGTTGAATCCCGTTGAATCCCCATTGAATCCCGTTGAATCACCGTTGAATCCCGTTGGAAAAAAAAACAGACATCGTCCAAAAATTCCGRAAACAAACTATGTTATGCAGATAAATAAACTGAACAACTTTTGCCTCCAGGTCACATCAAAAATCTTCACCAAATTAAAAATAAAAAATAAAATATAAAAATAGGTTATTTATTTATTTATTTATTTTTGTGTGTGTGTGTGCGTGTGTGTGTGTGTGCGTGTGTGTGTGTGTGTGTGTGTGTGATCGGGTGGGGGTGGGGGGCGCAACCCAACCCCTACCAATCAATCAATCAATCAAAAGAGAAAAAAAAAGTTAAAAAAAAAAGGGGAAAACCCGCTTTTCTCTTT